TGTGTGTGTGTGTGTGTGTGTGTGACTGGATGTGTCACCTCAGGACGGGGTTGGTGAGTTCAGGTAGGATCAGTTGCTTCCGTTCATCAGCTTGAATCTCCTGCAGCATCTCCACACCCTGAGTTCAAAGACAGAGGAACCTTTAATTCCTATCACTGAAGGTAAAGGTACAGCTTTTATTTTACCTGCATGATCACTTAACATATAATCTGAATCTCATTTCTAAATAAATTACTTTTAATTATGGATATGGTAAAATAAGGTATATGTACACAATCATAACAGAGGAAGATGCGGTGTCATTTTGGCTTTTCTGGCCATTTATGCCCTGTGATACGCTGGCGGCCGGTCCAGGGTGAACCCCACCTCTCTCTCAATTACAGATGGGATTGGCTCCAGCTCCTCAGATTTACACTCCCCAGATTAAAATATAAAATAAGACAAAATGTCATGTTTCTACGTGTAAATATTCAACCCAGGTGTTCAACAGTGGAGTCAAAGCAGAAACTCACAGGAGCTCAAACAGGAAACTATGGTCAATTATTTGCTTGCTTGAGACTGTGTGTTTCAAAAGTATGTGGTGGTAATCCCTGTTGGGTTTTACATGTGAATAGGCTGGCATACCTGTGTGTCACAGGCAGGTGCGTTGCTCTGGTTGTGTGTCTCAGCCCAGGTCTCAGCTCCGCGGGACGGTCCCAGGTGAGTGAGCAGGAAAAGAGGTGAACACACTGATCTGGGAGAAACTGGGGGGGGGGCTTTCTTCTCCTCAGAGACAGGAGCTGTTTAAATGAATATAGATTCTTTACTTAAGTGTCCACTAAAGTGCAGGGGGATAGAAATGCTGTCTAAAGGTTTCATTACTCACAGACAGATGTGGGAATTTCTTCATTTGAATTGTTTTCTGGAACAATCTCCAACCTTTGCTCTAACTGGTGGATGTAGTTCACCAGGTCCTGCAAGTGTCCGATATCAAATCCACAGAGTTGAAGAGTTGAAGAAAGAGAGGATCAAGAAGAAGAATTTCATAAATCAAGTATAATGTCATCTCATCTCATTTTATGAGCTCATGAAAGTGTTTGTTATTTTGTGTGCACCTTTGGTTCTGAGGTTCATCAGGTTCTCAGACACCAGTACACCTACTTACAGGTTGAGCTATACATTTATTTATTTATTTTTGGTTTGTTCTTGACAAATTCTATTTTTGTGAAACAATGAAGAAAACTACAAAAATACTTGAATTTGTATGAAGAAGCAGATAAATACATTTGGGGGAAAAAAATATAAAAAAGGTGAAAAGTTAAAGGGTGTTGCCTTTGGTGAAGCTGTAGACTGACCAGGTTTAGTCTTTTTATTTTGGTTTAATAATGGTTGGTATCAATAAATGTTAAACTACCGCCATCTACTGGAAATTGCTTGGTATGGAGAGCAGGGGACGTTAGGGGCCGCACTTTAAACATTACATTTAAAAAAAAACAAATCACTGAATAGAATTTATAAATTTAAATATATATATAAAAGTACTCCCATCAACCCACCGATGGTCACATTGCCCCAACAGCAAAACCTTTTGCTTGGTAGGAAACCCTGCCAGTTCTACGGCTGGTTGCAAAGTAGACGAAAATCATAAACTTAAAAAGTAACGATAAAAAGGCTGTTTGGGTGAAGAAGGATGGCCAGGAGAATATTATTTAAATTGTGTTCATGCACTTTCACATTTGACAGAGGGGACAGATTCGGTAGCAGTGCGGACAACTAAAGATGAAATCATGATGAAAACAGTTGACATATGAACAACTGTCTGATGAAGAAATGTGTTAGAAATGAATATGAACTGTATGTGGGATCTGGTGTTAAGCTCTTGCCTGTTTCTCAAGCTGCTCCTCCTCCCTGTCTGTGTGGACCCTCCTCAGACTGGCCCTCAAGTCCTGCAGCTCTCGACCTGCATCGCCCAGCAGCACCTACAGGGGGCAGCAGCAGCATCATCAACAAACTATCCTAGAACGTCTGACCTGGCTTGTCCTCTTTCCTACTGTAGGTCACATGATGGTGTGAGGAGTTGTTTGCTCATCGTTCAAGAAAGCTTTTCTATTTGTACCGACATGTGAGTAATAAAAGAAGTGTGCTGAACTCTGGCATCGTTCTCCAGTTACCAAAAATGTAACTCCAGGAATCGCAGCTGACGCAGCTTTGCAGCACACAAGCAGTTATATATAAATATATACTTACTCGGTTGCAATCTCTCTCCCTCCCGAGCTCGACTTCTACTTTCTCCCGCTCCATCCTCTCCTCCTGGAGCCATTCCTCCTTCCTCTCCATCTCACAACTCAGTTCTTGCAATTTCTTTTTATCCACCTGCATTAAAACAAAAAACACACAGAAGGATTAAAGCTACAGATTTATCATGGATGTGCAGGATGATGCTCTGCAGTATCCTCACCTCTGCTCCATGTTTGTAGGCCTCTCTCTCTAGGGCCCAGTTGGCGCGCTCCTCCCTGAGGACCAGGTTCTCCTCTGACAGCTGCAGGGTGAGCTGGGCCACCTGCAGCCGGGCTTGGTGCAGATCGGTGTGGGTGTGAGCCTGACGGGTGGCCAGCTCCCTCAGCTCCCGGCGCAGGCTCTCGGTAACATGCTCGCCAACATCCAGACGCTCCTGGAGCCCTCGCACCTCCACCAGCCTGGCCTCGTTGTCCGCCTAAAGGAGGACAAAATAAGGACATCCATACAGAAATAGCAGAAGGGGGAAGATATATTCTAGCTGTCACAATTCTGGAAATGGTACGGAACATGAAAGTTAGACGATGCAAATAAAATGTGCTTACTCCCACTGCTGATATAGGATGACACCTAAACATCTACGTTTGGCCTGGTTCCCAGTAACGTTTAGGTTCCTTACATGAACTCAACAGACCTGTGTGTCCTCTATCCCCCTTTCAAGCTACTCAAGAGAAGAAGCATCAACCAATCACCTGCAGAGTTTTTCTCTTTTCCTCATTGTGCTTCATTTGACTGGACACTTTCTTCAGTCTCTCCTTCAGCCTGTGCACAGCAAATAAGAATCATTTAAGGATCCAGGAACTACACAGAGCCAAGACAAAGGTTTGAAGTAGCATATATGTCTCAAACACTCGCCTTTCCACTTCCATGTTTGCCTCGTTCTCCCTCTCATTCAGAGCTTTGATGTCTTCCTCCAGGTCTCTGATTCGCTGCTCACTCTCCGCCTTGTCAGTCACAAGTTTGCTCAGTTCAGACGTCAGGTTTTCTTGACTATACCTTGCATCCTTAAGACAAATAAGATACATATATAACATCATAGATTCCTTATCACGTGTCAGTCATCATTGAAAGTTTAAAAAGTATTTCTGGCATCATGACTGATCTATACCTTGTGTTTTCCCTCCATCTTCTTCAACTTGTCACAGTTCTGTTTCAGGCCGTCTCTCAGCGCTGAGATCTCCTCCCTCATCTCTTCTCTTTCCTTCTCCCACTCCACCTGTAATTTTTTACTCTTTTCTTTCTCATCATGTGTCTCCTCTTTCGTCGCATCCAGAGCCTGCTGTAAAGCAGCCTGGTTTTTCAAGCACTCCTCCAGCCGACTCTGTTCACAACAAATTGGAGATAACAAGCAGGTTTGCATTATTTCATTGAATCTCAGTGGAGAGGAGGTTTGCTTATTTGCAGAGCTGGTGTTTTCTCCTTCGTACCTGCAGCAGCTCGGCCTTGGGGATAACCAGGAGCAAGTCCTCCTCTCTTTCCCCTCCGTCCTCCTCTTCGCCTCGTTTCTCTGTCAGAGTCTCCAGCTCCTCCAGAGGTTTGGGTGCACAGAAAGTGAAGGGTCGACTAGAGGCACACACCTCTCCTGTCTTATCCACGTACACAAACTGGTACTCCAAGTCCCCGGGACGAGGCAGGTAATATGCTGTATGGAGCAGATGTGTATTTGAGTTATTCTCTTTTTCTTAAAATGAGCAACACAGGAACACTAACCACACATCTATCTGTCAGAAACTTCAAGTAGCATTTTAAGCATTGTTGAACTTGTTATTATCATTTTTCATGTTTGGCTGAATTCTCACCATGGAAAAGTGCACAGCAGTTTACATTGGTTCCCTCGGTGTATCCCTCAGCAACAAGGGCCCATGTGTATGTGTGATACTGTTTCAATGAAGACCAGCCCATCTGTGGCACAACGGAAAACACACTTTAGGCCACAAACTACACAAATGCTTCTGTACCTAAAAACAAAGAAAGGTGTGGCTGGGGAGGTTCAGTGGGTTGTTGGAAAGTTTTGTGAATATACCTCAAAAATGCCAATCCAGTCACTGCTGCTCCACTGATGGTCAGAGGTCAAGCTGTAGTGGCACTCCACTCTGGTTTGGGGGAAGTACATTTGCCCCACATTTCGAAACACCACTGTGGACTGTTTATCCATGGTATCGGGACGCTGTGAGAAAACATAATGTGAAATGTGCTCCAGTTTCAGTCTGGAGGAAGACAGCTGATGAAAGTTGATAGCAGAGTCAGTTCAGGAATGCAGCACGGGCACAAAACCGGCCGGCTATAGCTTCACTACGTGTTTATCAACAACAAACTCATATGGCTACAAGAGCACTGGGTAATACCATTTAATCTGTGAAGAACTAAAGATGTTAAAGGAGGTTTCTTTGTAGCTGTAGCACTGTAGGAAACATCTTCACATCAATCTAACAAAAACAAGCACAAACTATATCAAATTCTTACTAAAATACAGATTCATGCACATTTAAAGCTACATTTGCAATAATAATTCCTTGTGCATTCTCATTCCTTACACATCAATGTTGCCTTTTGTTAATAATCTAATTACATCAATTCTATCTGTTATTATTGAATAAATATTGCTTTCTAAGAAAATTCAAATAAAGGTTTGCTAGGATTTAATACATGAATGAACTATGTGGTGGTGAAGTTTGAAATCTTACCTTATTCTGCTGAGAGATGGATGTGCTGTTGTTTCTGCTGCCTCATGAACTAGATGTGGGCATCAGTCTGTGGACAGTGATGAGCACTCCGGTCAGGTGCAAGACTTTCACAACATCTCTTCAACCATATGGACCCCCCCCCCCACCCCCCCACCCCCATGTGGAAAATTAGTTCACATTGGGTGACTCATGGGAAATGCTGTTCATGGTATCATAGCTCCTAGTGTGGCAAAGTCACGCTATGGACTCCAACTCCCATTAGTTAACACAGATTTTAGGACACAGGATCTGCTGTTGCTGGTGTTGCTCATCACAGTTCTGAGTAGAAGCAGGGGTGGGAGGGGGGGGGGGCATCCTCAAGGCCTAAATATTTATCTTCATAATAACTTCAGTCAGCTCACAATCCTGAAATCAGCAGAATGTTAAAACATACCAACAGATATTCACAATATGAGGCAGAAGTTGAATGTGTGATTCAGATGTAGATGTGTCTTTTGTTTTCTCTCTGAAAAAACAAAGACAATAACAGACGGAAAAAGTCAAATGATCTGTAATTCGTTTGAAACTCATCAGTCCCCATGTTTCACTGACCTCGATATATAGAAGAGTCTATGAGCTGTTTGATTTCTTTTGTTTATGCTACATGATCAGTGATTGCGAAAGATTTGCAATCCCAGTGGTGAACACTTGATGGCAGTTTAGTTCTAGCACAAACCCACACACAACTAGGGACTCATATCTGAGTCATGTTCAGTTCTCCTGCAGGTAGATTTGGAAACTATAAACTCATCCTCCTTACAAATCAAACTGATTTGATTTTTTGACAATAGGGTTGTCAGTGTTGTTAACACCACAGAGATTTAGACTTTACCTTCACTCATTCCACAAAAGCTTCTATCCAAAGTGATTTATAACAGAGGGACAACACTAAAGCCTCAGGACAGTGGGAGAAGTTGTAGAATCAAGTGCTAAACCAGTTCAATTAGACAAGTGTGGGAGATGAGGTAAAGAAGTGCACAGTAAGTGTAAGTTAGGTGTGGTAGAGGTGTAAACAGAGGAGGTTGTAAATAGATTATTGAAGACAGAGACAACCTGACAACATTTGATCGTTCCATTATCAGAAAACCACATGAAAAGAGTCTGGACTGTGATTGACTTATAAAATTGAGTTCAGGTAGATGGTGGACTTTTCACAGCAGTACAGGTGTTACACATAGGATTAAAAATATCTTCATAATATTCACGTGTACCTCTGAACCCTGATGGTGGAACAGATGCAGCAACTACTATTTTAATAATACCTTGAAAATGAAGCAGCTAAACTTCAGCCATCATTTTACTACATTTATTGTTTAGAAAAAAACTTTTCTAGTGTGACTGAAAATAATGCACATGTCCAACACTTAAACTTAAGCTTTCACTGAGCATGCTAACACCTAGCATGACTCATCAACATGCTGAATGTGATCATATTACCAAACTGTCCTGCTAAATATCAGCCTGTTTTCAGTAAGCCTGCATAGATGGAGTAGCAGAGGTAAACAACAACGACGAACCATTTTATTTCATAATGCTGTATTTATTTTAACACAACATATAAAGGGTCCAGGATTAGAGGCACAAGAATTTAAAAGTATAAGAAAGAATACAAAACATTTTAACAATAAATGATCATTAAAAAACACAACAAAAAAGCTTCTCTGTGGTATTTTAACATAAACAATATTTACTTACATGTGTTTTGTGGTTTTTTGTACAAAATATTTTTGTAGAGTTTAGAGGTTTTTTTTCAAAGAGGCATTTTCTAAAACATTCCAATCAGGCTTATACATATGCACATGCAATTTCTCAAAATACATTTTTAACAAATGTAATCAAAGGCTTCTTTGACAGAAACCTATACGACAAAGACCCCTGAGCATTTCCTTATAGTTATAAAAAAGGTAGAAAGAAATGAACCAGGTGCCATGATCAATCCTCAATTCTATAAATAAAACCACCTCATGATGAACAGACATTTGCTGATGTGTTTACATGAGTTATTAGTGTACTGTGAGCTCTTAGTGGAGCTGTTTGCTGCCATTGTTAGTGAGGATGAAAATGTTCGATCACTCACAGACACACAAACTGACGTGAGGGAAAACTTGAGCCTGCACTTGTGTCTGAATAGTTTATGTGTTGTTCATCAGCGACAACACACCCAGTTCTGCCAGTTTGGCTTTAGCTACCTCCTCCCAGCCCTTATTAGCTAGTGGGTTCCTAGGTGACGGATGCATGATGCCCTCGACTCGCACACTGACACCTGCAGTGGAGAGAGCTCGCCGCGCCCGCTGCTCTGCCACCTTTCCGACCCCGATCACCATGGAGACGCCCAGCACCTCCACAGCCTGGCACAGTGCTGTGTCACACAGGGCGAGGAGGGCCTCCCGCTCAGCTGCAGGCAGCTCAGGGGGAGTGAGATTCTTCCCGCTGGCGCTCATGAAAATCAGCGGGCAAAGGTTGTGCACAAAGCAGTGACGAAAGAAGAGCCCAGGTTCACCGCACAGCTTTCTGAAGAAGCCCCAGAAACGTGCACCGCTCACTTCCCTCTGGGTACAGGCAAGACCCGTGATCCGTCGCTTCGGATGCTCGTCATGAGGGTGACCAACCTCGCCTTCAATCTTCAGCCAATCAACAACTGACTTCACTTCACCGAAGGGGACCTGGGGACAGAAGAAATGATTGTTTAAAGAGTAATCAATTCAAGTATAATCCCTAAACCACCTTTTTCAGCTAAAAACAAATGTACAGAGATATGAAGTGCTGTTGATTGATTCGGGTCCAGATCTTGACATTTTGGTGCTAAATGTTTGATATCAGCACTTTGTGAGGTAAATATGAAAGGGGATCGCCCTCTACTGGTTGAAACCCGATTATTGCAATTGAACTGGAGGCAGGAGCAGACAGTATATGATGCATCTCTTCACTGTGTTTACACAATGCATTAACAATATGTCAATATATTTGTTTATATTGCTAATGATGATGATGATAATTATATTGTGGTAATTATTGATACTTTTTCATTTCTCAGTCCAAGTAAAGCTGGGTCCACCTGCTTTAATCACCCTCATTTCAGCTAACTTGGATTCAATTTTATTTGTATAGCATCAAATAACAACATAGATTATCTAAAGGCACTTAACAAGGTAAGGTCAGGACCTTACATTATTAAAGAGAAAGCCAACAGTTCCCACAATGAGCAGCCACTTGGCAACTGTGGAGAGAAACCTCCAGCAGAACCAGACTGTGTGAAGGGTGCATCTGCCTCCACCGGTTGTGGTGAGAGGAGACAGCTGGGGGAGAGAGGAGAGGTGGGTGGACCATAGTGTATCTGTCATATTTAAACTGTCACACTGGTTGTGATGATGAAATAATAGATGTAATGACTCCCTTAATGATAGCAGCACCTGTTAATAATACTAATGATAATAACAGTTCTTGGAATGAAGTTTGTTTTCATGCATATGACAGTTGTGTTGTTGTTGTTTACTGTGTGGACACAGTGAGAAATCTGAGTGTCACCGCTGCTCACCCCAGTCTGCGCCATGCCGAAAGGTCCCGGGTTCATGCCCAGGAACAGGACGCTCTGCCCGGCCTGACAGAACCTCTCCACGTAGCAGCGGTGTGTGTCCCAGGCGTACTCCAGCGGGTTGTAGATGTACCGGACCGGCTCGCTGAAGCTCAGCCGGCGGAGGTGGGTGTTCAGTTCCAGTTCCACCTGCAGGAACCTGGAGGAGGAGGAGGAGGAGGAGGGGGTCGTGTTCAGCTCCGGCACCGGTTTAAATCCCTCTTCATGTGGTTGACACAAAGCCAGCGGCTCGTCTCTATCGTCTCCGTCTTCACAGACGCGATCAGCCGCACGCTGCGCCGCGGTGTTGTCAGCGGACATGTTCAGCTGCGGGCGAACAAAACCTCTTCCTGTCCGTCCTGTTGAAGCATTAACTCTGTCTTCTGTCAGGTCCGATCACGTGTTGACGATGTTTGTCTTCTGATTTCGACGCTTTGTTCATCAGAAACACTTCCTCCTCCAGTCTACATTTTCTTCTTCTGCGTCCTCCTGCGCTCTCAGAGCAGCTGCTGCCCCCTGCAGCAACACTGGTGTCACTACAACCTCAATTCGTTTAATAAATTAAAGGTTCAGTGTGTAGAATTTAGTGACATCTAGTGGTGAAGTGTCATATTGCAGCTAAATACCCGTCACCCTCCCCTTCCCCTTCCAAACATGACAGAGAACCTATTGTAGCCTTCAGTCGTCATAATAACTCAAAAGATTTAGTTTGTCCAGTCTGGACTACTGTAAAAAACATGGCAGCCTCTGTAGAGAGGACCTGCTCCTGATATAGATATAAAGTATTTAAATGTAAATGGCCCATTCTAGGGTAAAGAAAACAACAATTCAGATGAAACACACTAGGAAAAAACATCACTAGGACTATTTTATAATCATTTTCTGCTAATAGACCCATTTCACCGAAAGCTGTTCAAACAAATTCTAAAGATCTATTCGAACGAAATAGTTATACTCTATTTACCCATTTAGACTCTGATTTATATTTGACCACTCAACTTTATCTAACATATAAACGATATTCTTACCCAGTTCCACCCAGGGGGACCAGAATAACAAAAATAAAGTCCTTTTTTCTTAAAATGATTTCAAATACCAAACATTAGATGAATCAAATTACATTAACTAAATACAACCTCAACCCTGCATGTGCTTTATAATATTTAAGCAATTGGGGCAGGATGGCGGATCATTATATGAGCAGTAAATCCGTCTATAAAGCCTCAACTTTCCTACTTGTTTGAGAATTGAAAAACACATCAAAAGTGAACAGAGGTTTCCTTTACAAATTCTTTTATTCAGCATAATAATAAGCCTCTCCTCTGATTTTCATACAGTTGAAACTAATTGGATCACAAGGGTACATATTAGTTAGCCCATTTTACAATAATCATTGTAACATTTTTTTAGGAAGTTATTCTTATGCACTCATTTTCCTACACAAAATAATCAATATCAAGATCCTATCTTAACTGAGGACCATAACTCTGCATGCAAGACTAATAAAGAAAACAACTAATCTGTGATAGCTACTGTTATGCTGTTGTTCATCTAATACCATTATCAATATAATTTACTACAAATACCAGGGACTTTGTATAAGAAAGAAAACATTTTGTTGTGGAACTACTGCGTCTAATGTCAAAATTACTGAACATACTGGGCTCTCAACTGTACTGATCCAAATTGTTCAGTCCACTTTCTGTCAGGTTGAGGAGAAATAGGCTTTGTCTAAAACCTAAAATCTAGTACAGTCTGAAGGAAAAAATATCCATATCTTTTTTGTCTTTTTTTCCTTTCACTCCAGTGTTTACATTTTCATCAGAATAAAAAAAGGTCCTTGAAACAATCATCAAAAATGTGATGAGAAATCCTCAGAATCAAATAAATCATTTGATCCGTCTGAAAAATTAAACCTCAATCTTATAAACAAATGATTTGAGACTCAAGGGTTCTATTGCCTTTAAACAATGAGATTGATAATACTAAAAAACAATAAATGACAAAAAGGTATTAATAAGTGACGTCAACTATATACTGTATTGCCCTTTAGCCATTTGTCAGTGTGTGCTCATGTTAGCGGTATCCCTTCCACATATTTGGAATATGTGTTTCCAGAGCAACGTAATGCATTTCTCAAACTTTATCCTTTCACTTCAAACTAAATCCCCGGTTTGTGCACACAAACGTCACACCACTTTGTCTTGAAATCAATAGATTTATGTCCACTAAAGTCTCATCTGAAACTTTAAATTAAAACAATGTGTAAATCGAATCAGACTGCAGTCCCTAGCATCCCCCTTGATGGATTTCTGCCGCCGGGTACTCGCTCTCTGTTATGACGTCTTAATATGCACATGTTTGGTCTGGTAGACTAATCCTCCCACCCAGCACTGAATTCTGGGTTAAACATCACACCACTGACTAGCCAATCACAGAAAGGATCAAGTTTGAGAATTTCCTCAACAGGCAGCACAGCGGCTCCGATCAAACGTCTCTCTGCCAGAGACCTCCAAGGGAGGACGAACAAAGTTCAATCTTGAAAAGAAATTGTTTGTTACAATATCATTTAGTACTACAATGATTATTTGTGTATCTGCACTTACTTAAGGCTAAACCCAATGACATGACAGACATCCAGTATTACACACCAACCACATAGTATTTGGATAAAAAAGGCAATTGTTAGTGTGACGCAGAGTCAAGCGAGTGTTGATTCTGCTGTGGCCTGTGAGTGGCCAAAGCACTGCAGTGGGAATCAATTGAGCATTACCGACTTCTCACATGGACTGTCCAACTCCTAAGGGCTCCTTCAGGATTCTACACTGTGTAACACGACCCCAAATATTCATTATCATCATAAAGACAACCTCTTTCGACAGGAGAACACTTTAGTCTTTTTTAGCGCCAGTAAAGCCATCAACATTCTGTAACCACGACGGCTTTAAAATAAAAAACACAAACCATGATGATGAAAGGCTGTGCCATCTCAGTAAATACATCTGATCCACAATAATGAACAGTTAAGAAAAAAGTAAATGAAAATAAAATAAAATAAACAGGAACACACTAAGGCCACGAGATTCTGTATACCCCCACTAATCTCACAATGTGAGAATCTGTACAAACAACATAATGGGACTTTAAGTGGCCAACCTGCCTTATTTTAGACCATGGTCTATGGACAGAGCTGAGAGACTGTTTTCTTTTAAGCACTGGAGATCTCTGTATACACTGAAAATATACACTAAGTACAATAGCGTAACAGAAGAGGAGGACTCGCTAAGGCTGCCATCTTGTGCCATTTCCTGAGTCATCAGCATACACAGAACACAACGTGCAGGTTGCCCTCTCATCAACACATCTTGGAAGTCCTGGTTTACAGTTATGAAGCACTGTCTGATATTTCTTTTTGTTTGTACATTAACACTCTTACGTTCCTCAAGATTTCGCTGAAATAGTGGGGATCGACCGTGTTTGACACATAATATTACATTTCCAGTTTCTTTCTGGCCCATTTTGTGCATTCAAAAAATCATCACTCAAGCCCCATGGTGAAATAATAATTAATATTTTCAATTATTTACACAAAGAAATCATTAAGACTGTACCTTCTGTGAAGATGAAGTCAAGGAAATCTTGTTGTTTGTGCCACATTGAGACCAGACGCTGCTTGTAGTGAAATGTCTTAATGCGTAACTTTATGTTACCTGTAGAGTCAAGCAAGATCTGGTCCATGAGACGCCAACAAAATGGTTTCCTTGTATTACAAAGGGATGTTCCGTTTCATTTTTGACCTAAGTGCAAATTCTTTTGCATCAAAATGGGCCACATAAGGAAACTTGGAAAGAAGCTCAAATACTTTTATCTCAACACTTCATTCCATTTTGTTGCCAAGACGTCAAGATCAACAATATCCACTGCCCTTCCAGAGTACCACCGAATGCAGATATTTTTTAACAATAATAAACCTTTTTTTTTTCTTTTTGCAAAAATCAATTAGATTAAGTACAAAACAGGACCACTGTTCATCACAGAAAAGTCTAGTCTTTAAAAAGGAAAAAAAAGGAAAAAGGAAAACACAGTAAAAAGTGAACAAAATAATAACACAAAATGTCCCTCTGTCATTAGTAATCCCAAGACTGGAGCTGCAAGATCAGTCTGTGCTATAGTGTGGCCCCACTACGCACAGAGCTGAGAAAAAGAAACCCTGTGGCTTGTCCCTTCTCTAGCCTTGTGGTGGATGTAGGGAACGTGGAATGTCAGACTGCCAGCCGGCCTGGAGGGGGATGCAGAGGACTCCAGGTTGGGGGGGCGGGCGGGGGTTCTTGGGGATATGGACGTGGTTCGCAGCACGGCTGGTTCTCTACTTTGGCTACGTTGCGACCCTGGCATAACCGCCGATGCCGCAAAAGCCGGTCTGTTCGAGAAAAGTTCTTGAAACACAAATTGGACGTGATTAACAATTCACATAAATGTGGGAGTTAATGTGTTGAAATAGCATTGAGGAGAAAGAAACAGCAATAAAGACAAATCTAATGTAAAAACATCAAGAAACTAATATTCATATTGCACATTTGATCCATACAAATACAAGAGGCCAAAGACTGAATTTAACCCATTTGAGCGGATGCAACATATGCAAGTAAAAACATGAGTGTATAAACCGACATTTGTGTAATTCTCCCTTTAAATCCGGATGAAATGTAGACTTCTCGACCACAATGTCATCGTGTGACAGATGAAATACATTGTAATTCACAGATATACTCGCGGAAAAGGCAAAATGCATTATGGTAAAGGTAGTTTGCTTATTTGATAGCCTGTAAAACAATTTAGAGAAGCTTTTCAGACTATTGCATGACAATTTAAGGATAATAAAGGAGTATTATTGAAGTAGAAAAATCTCTGCAATTTGTTTTTGTTTTTTTGATCACCAAGTTTAGGGAAAAGGCCATAATTTAGAATAGAATCCTCACATTATATTTCATTATATCTGCTTTAGAGACTGGAAAATCAAGGTTTTTGAAGACTTAGTCAATTCTGTCAGCTCTTCAGAAAACACAGGTTTTAGGAGGTGATTTTCAAATAAGCATTTGGTTTTCAGAGTGTGTTGTCATTTGGCACCTTAGGTCCTAATGGGTTATACCATTCAGAATACCAGAAATGTTACATTAGGGTCAATTCATTTTCTGTCCATTCATTCATACATACCTGCTGGCACCGTTCACACTGGTAAGGCTTCTCCCCACTGTGGACACGCTTGTGTCTCTCAAGGTGGTAGCGCTGGATAAACCTCATATCGCACATGTCACAAGCAAATGGCTTCTCTCCTACAAGAGCACACACATATACAGTCAATGCATCAATTTTAGCGTCTTGTACCAACACATAGGGTGAAACTTTCTAATTTGACTTTGCAGAATACATTTTCCAACACAGTTGGAACAACACTGCCCTATCAGTACATTTTACGTGTAGTTTCAGCAAATGGATATTCTATAAGGCCTCGTCATCAACTCATTATGTGTAGATCAGAGTGGAATTTCTTGTTTTCATGGCTTAGATCTACGTAACATAGAACCCAAAAACTGGGGCAAGTATTTTGAGGCTGGTTCAACATCCCATCAAATGACTTGACGACCCAAACTCGAGTTTGTTGTGACCGCGCTCTGTTGCAAGCGCCAGTGCCTTTCTCAGTAAATGAGGGTACGGTGAAGGAACGCATACCCGTATGAGTGAGGCTGTGTCTCTCCAGGTGGTTACGCTGAATAAACCTCATGTCACACATGGAACAAGCATACGGCTTCACCCCTACACACACAGAGCAATATATTAGCCCTACCAGCCACATGTGCAATACATACAACTGTGAAGCTCAAGGTAGCACTAAAACACTGCTAATAACTCTTTTAATTTGATGTATTTTATCTGCATTTACTTATGTAAATAAAACATGCAACTAAAAATACAGCTGATATTTCTAAACAAAATATGAAATTAAACATGTCAGGCTTCCAACAAAAACAACAGGACCTGTTATATGTGCTGTGTGAGATTAACATTTAAACTACAGTATGTTTGGTCTGAATAATCATTTGAATCCTCACTTGACACTGCAAAAACCTACAATACCATTTCAGCTCTCTCATCCATTACATCTATATTTACAACATAAAAACAAACAAATAGTTTAAGTCATAGTTAATTTTTCATACACAGGATTTGAATTTTGTATTTTCTGAATTAGAATTAAATTGCCTTAGAAGCAAGTTTCCTAGGCAGTTTATACATTTAAGATGGGGTAGAATGATATACAAATTACACAAACTTATATAAAGATAAATAGTCAGGTGATACAGTAATGGTCCGATTTTAGAAGGGTTTGTGATGTTAATGCTTATTGACTTTCAAGAGTCTGGATAAATACAAAATATGCTTTTCTGCTAAAACATTAAAATTGAATTTACCAGAATTTGACAAAATGCTATAAGCCCCAAATTGTCCATGTTAAATGTAAACACATTTTGAATCTAGTCTTTATGGTAAAAAGACAAAAAAATCAATAATTTAAAATTATAAGAATTGCAGCCTGGACAAAGTCAGGACCAGTGTTCCAAATCAAGCTGGAGTCTGATTCAAAAATATAAAACATAACTAAATCGCAACTGTATCCTTTGCTTTCTTCACATTCTGGTATTTTTAAAAGTCTGATCAACACAAGGCCTGATCAACAATGAACAGCATCTAACCAAACGGATTAACTGGAATTTAAAACCAGAATATTGGCTTTTGGATCCTCACCTACACGAGAATGAGTTTGAGCAAAACCATGGGTGTGCAACACACAATAGATTCACGCTATCTGCAGTTCTAGAGGGCAACTATCTGTTTCTACTAAATAACCTAACAGAGTTTTAAGTACAGGTTGCAGAAATGTGAAATAAACAATAACAATAATTTATTAAACCAACAGCAACTAACCTGCACACCCAACAAAATATTAAAAAGTTTTTTTCCTATGCACACAAGCGTATCCCTCATATTAGAACAATTTAAGATAACTGTTGATCTGTATCATGTGAGAAGGGTCGGTGCACGGACCCATACCCGTATGAGTGAGGCTGTGTCTCGCCAGGTGGTAGCGCTGAACAAACCTCATGTCACACATGGTACAAGCAAAAGGTTTCACACCTGAATGCAGAGTATCAATACATTATTTTCAGGACTTTTAGTTTCTGTTTCACAATCCATCAATCAGATATGTAATTGAAATATCTAATTACAATTGATGGGTTGTTAACCACTTGTGAAATTTTCCTAAACAGTATGCATGTTGAATAATTGTTTTCTCCAAATTCAATTAAAAATGCATCAAACTGAGTTGATCAAATTCAAAATCCACAACTTAACACATCACATGAGCTGATGATGTCACAGTCCTGTATTTATATACATGTAAAGATTTTACTTCAATGTTGCATTTACGTAGATGAAGTGTGATACTATTGATTAAGACAAAAGTAATATTCACTTTTACAGAATATTAATAATAGCCTCAGACAGTTAAATTTTTATCTGGCATTATGTAAATACATTCTGATTTCAGTGACATGGGTAGGGTGGGCGGACGCATACCCATATGAGTGAGGCTGTGTCTCGCCAGGTGGTAGCGCTGAAAAAACCTCTTGTCACACATGGTGCAAGCGTAAGGTTTCACACCTAAATGCAAAGTAGCAATATTATATTACTTTACCTCACTTTCCATTCTTTACCATAAACACCTGCACTACTGGTAATTAACCATACATGTGCCAATTAGTGCAAAATCATAAAGATGTCAAATGCTTCCTTTCTCTAACTCTGTATTTTACCAAAACAGCTACAAAACTGAATGT